TGTGTATTTAGATGAACCACTCTCTGACTTACCACTGTTTTCATTTTTTTTATTTTCCCAGCCCTAACCTCAGATTTAATGGATGTGACCTTCCCATTTCTGCATCTATGCACGCAATCAGTCGTAGCCTGCAGCAAGGTGTCACATCAATGCATCCCGCAGCAGCCTCACTCCACTCACAAATTGGTGGTTGAGACGATGAACACAACAACAAAAGCAAATATCTCTTTGCTGGAATCAATTCAGTGCAACTGGAAACGGGTGTACTGGTTTGTTTGCTGAATCTTTGTATCTGCATTTGAAAGCGTCACAACAGAAAACTCTGCATCTCTGGCAAATGGAGCCTGGAGGAAATTAAAGTTTGGTGAAGATTGATTTTTCTGTACTGGAGAACAAACTGGAAAGCCACACACAAACAGTCTATTCACTGCTGGACTCTGCCCTTCCACCTATTGATCCTCACTGCCATCAATGAAGTTATGTGCCATCAGGGATTTGTAACAATCATTACAGACTGACCCAGCTTACTGACAGCTGGACCGTCCTGCTTTAGCTTAGCCAAAATCCATTAGAAATTAGCTTTGAATAAAAAGTAAATAATACAATCTTTTTATTTATTTATTTTACTCATCTACTTTACTGAAACATTCAGGAAATAATCACCTGATGCATATCTACAACTGATTAACCTTTAGAGTCAAAATGACTGCCACAGCTTATCAACTTTAGCAAACAAAAATAAAGCACTACTTCAATCAATTTTCAATCAATTTTATAGATACTGAGCTGAAATTTGGTGTTGCAGTAGTTAAGAGCCAACCCTGACATGTATTTCGAGCACTAACAGATTTTGTGGTTTTTGGCAAGAACTGTTGGAGAGGCATGAGAGGCAGGAGTGAGTCCCTTCAAGGAATATGAGGCCTTAAAGGGGTCATATCATGCAAAATCTACTTTTTAGCCATTAAATATATTTCGTTGTATACTTGGAGTCTTTAGGAGTGCTGAACTTTTGAATTTAGTCTCTCCCGGTGCTGCAAATATCTTTATTTTGTTTGGGTCATATTTTTCAACACATTAAGTTTTCTCGATTTTCTACCACGTTTTCTGAACTATTACATCACAGTATTTGCAACAGAACTGCTAAATGTTTGATGGTACAAAGCTCCGCCTATTTATACAAAGCTCCTCCCAGGAGCTCAGTCTACCAGCCAAGTTCCCACACCACAGAGCACCCCTCCCCCGAAGAGGTGTTGTGAAGATGCGCTGACGTGAAGGAGGTTCTTAAAGAGATAGAGGCCAATTTTAAGGCGTTTATTTTTTAGATATACAGAATTTTCCTAACAACTCAAGGTAACATAATTACTTGACTGTGGTAAAGAATTGAACTGTGTGCCTGAAAAATACATGCTTCTTCCCTTTAAAGAGACAGCATCAAAACAAGTTGATCTGAGACACACTTCAGAAAAGTTGTGAAACAGGGGCTTGTGGAGTTACAATAAGGAGGAACTCAGTTTAAAACATTGCAGTTCCACTTTATTACAGTTCCACACTGAATGAGAAAAATGTGAAAAAGAAGGATTTAAAGGCATTATATGCCTCCTTTAAATGACATATTAAGGGAATTATAAGTAAGTATTCTTCATTTATATAAACAGCAGCTTTCAAGGCAAAATTCATAAAATTCCTTACATCAAATAAAACGGCACGCTTGGTACAACAATAACATAAGGAACCATGAAGAACAATACAGATCAAAGTCCTAAAGATACGAAACAACGAGCAAATTTACCATCTTAACACTTGCTATTATTACCAAATCTGTTGAGGTGAGTCATGGGAAAGCACTGACTATTCTGTAGTTCTCGCCAGAATAGAATGTGTCAAATCCTGATCATCACATTCATTTGCTGCATCAACACTTGCCAAGAAAAGCGCTGCATCATGTAATGCAGACAGTTATATTAGGAAATCTGTAGCTTTGCGCATCTCCGAGTCACAAACTGACCCTGGCTCGTCATCATAATGAGCTGCTTAGTGTTCTCTGTCAACTACACTGAGTATTAGGAATAGCTCAGCTTATCACATTGAAATTAATCCCCTCCCTGATTATTACGGTTTTCTACTTATCCTTTAGAAAACCCTTTAAGCTTCTTTCCAAAACAATTGGTTTTGGTTAAGTCAGTGTCAGTTTTAACTGTGAACATCTTCACTAATTTGTGCTCTCTCCTCCCGACCTGAACAATCCGAGCATGTAATAAGCACGTCTTCCTCAGCACCAACTACCGACGTGCCCTTAAGCTGAGCGCTGACCCAGCAGCCGCTTCAGTGTAATTACTTAGCTGCCGGCGGTGTGAGGTTTTAGTCGAACAGTGCCGCGTCATGGTGTGAATAAACCTGCGCCTTCCTCCCCGAAAGGCTGCCGCAGGCCACCGCTACGAAATCTAGTTTGCTAAAACTGCTAAACGCAGTTTGTGAGCAACAAAACCAAAAAGCTGTGGGCTCTGAGTGTACAAGGTACTATTGTGCTCGTTTCCCTGGTTTTCTTTTATTTTAGCAGCTTATTCTCACTTCATTGGGTTCAAGAGTTCAGAAAGCTGCAGCTGATCCACAAAAGCGTGAAGTGTTAAGTGCAGTTGGTGGGAAGAAAAATAAATGAATCCTCTAGATAGAACTCGATAGCCTACATGGCAGGAGGAGGAACAAGCAGGCCAATTATCAGACTCCACAGTCCGTCATATCAGACCCATCACGTTTGGGGAAATGACCACACAGATTTCAGCATGTAGCAGCTGATACAACAAGCTATTTATATCCAGAGGTGTGGATAGAAAAATCTGCGACGCTTTGATGCTGGAAGAATCGAACGAGATGCTAAAACTCTGTTTCAACCTGTCTGATTCTGATCATAGAGATACATGTACAGATAAAAGCAATCATTTTAACAGTTTAAAAGAGAACAGACGCAACAGTTTCAGCTTAATCAACTACCCTTAAATATGCCACACATTTACACAAACTTACATTTGGTGCAGGCTTATATGTATTTTTTTAACCTTTAACATCAACAACTTCCTAAAATATTCTCCTAAGTCTTTTTTTTTCAGGAAACATGAAGAGCTTAACTGAAAGCAACGATATATATTTTCCTGACAAATGTCAGGTTATTTTAGAAAGGTGTCGCCATGAARTATTTTATGATTCAGTTCATGAACTGTCCCTACTTTTCTTGATCTGCATTTGATGAGYGAAAATATTGTGAAATGTGACATTTTATCTAATGTTTAGATATGGGTGTCAGTGCACAAGCGTCAAAGAACATTTATTCTGTTTGGTATCCATCAAAATTTTTGTCCAAATTTCATGCCCCATTCTTTTACAACAAAAACATAAAATAAAATATTGTGAATTATTCATCAAAACAGGTAACTTGATTGGGAACAGTATGTTGTGAGCTTTGGTAGCTGTACGTTGTCGATAAAGTTAACAACCTGCACGATTTTCTCACAATGACATTTGGGTAAAATGGACGACTTAACAGTCAAATTTGGAGTTTTAGGGTTCAGGGTTACTTTACAGAAAAAAACATAATATAAAGTTTAAACTGTTTACAAAAAGTTGGACTTTACATGACTAAACTGTCATACTGATATCCTAAACACTTTTTACACAATCTCTGTTTAAGTATTATCACAATTTGTAGACTTTTTTCCCATGGATGTACTCTGACTGAAGCATTTTTTTGCAAACTTCCTAATCCCTGTTATTGCAAGTATGACTCAGTCCCCTGTGAGCAAAAGGTGTGAATCAGGGCCCCAATGATACCAACACAAAGAGGGAAAGAGAGACAAAAACAAGGGGGCGTCGAGCCCCGCTTGCACTCACTACATACAGATAACACGACACCTAAGAACCACAGCATCCAAACCAATAAGTCAGGTGATGGGGCACATGACCCTCTATGAACAATAGAGCTAATCAAGCCTATTGCTAGGCGATGGCCCTCTTTTGCATGTGACTAACCAGTTTGTCCATGTAGAGGCAGTCCTTATAAAGCTGAGTTCACCTGAAACTCATCAGACTGAAGAAGTCTCTTGGACGAGAGACGAAACATTTCACTAAAGAAGAACCCATCCAGAGGACCAACTTATTTTTTCTTTTTGATTCCTAATCCCACAACATTTTTAAGAACATATACAAATAATACAACAAAATGTGTCACTCACTGTGATTTAAGGTTTTCTTGTAAATCTTGTTGGGGTGCAATGAGAGCATAACGAAACTTTCATAAACTTCAATAAGCCTAAAGTTTTCTCTTCAGTAATGGGAGGTAAAGAATCATTTCAAACAGGTCTTATGTTTTTTTTTTTTTTACATTATAGCACAGTAGAAATAAAGAAACCACGTGTGACCAACACAGTCTTCTTCCACTCCCAACTTAAGAATTTTAAAGCTTAAAATCATAGTTGTCTCACTGCAACTGTATTCAGGGAAGCTGGGTAGCTGTGTGGGTACCCTTCAAAATTTCATCAGAATTGTTTTAATTTCCCTGTTCAGTGTGTGTGTGTGTGTGTTTAAATAGCCGCTAGAGTGAGATGTAACAACAATTACAATTGATTCAGGCACAGCAATTTAAGTGACGCTCAGCTTCTTCTGAATTACCGAGTCCCTCTGTTTACAAAATGACTGTACAGCTAATTAACCATTGGTTTCTAGCATCCAGCTGGTGGATTTTGGATGCCACGAGTGAAGAGTTAAAGAATCAAGCCAGACACTTGGCAGGAGTGTGGGTTTAGTCTTTTTTAGGATGATCCATTTCATTTTAAAACAGCGGTTTCATCTCATTACCATCTGTGTTCTGGATGCCATTGAGACGAATGGAAGCTTTATATAACCTGTGTTGCAGCCCAGAACATCCCTTTCTTGCATCACTGTGGGGTATACCATTTAAACAACATCCACAGGTTTATTTAAGTGCAAAAATAATGAGGGGACGGACTCACAGGCGTGTGTGACGGAGAAACTGTTGGAGGACTCCAAGTTGTCCACGTTGTAATTGAGGTGGAAAGGTTTTTCTGTCACATTTTGGTTGGTGTTGTAGAGCTGGACAGCAAACCTGAAGGCGCTGTGCTCCTGCACTGTGGAGCGCATGAACAGTCCACCTACAGGAAGGAAGAAAATGTCACACACACACACACACAACAGAGCTCTAATTAGTCCAAACATACACTGCATTATTCAATCCCAAGTATAAAGACATGATTTCACACTGTCATTTATAAGTTAGAGGAAAGCAGTCTGAAACTGGCATTTTGGCATTTTAACTCTGTTTTGACACAGACCAGCAGAAACCCACAAGCCTCATACTTAAGTAAGTTGGTTAATGATTAAAGAGAAGAAAAAAGGGCATAAAACTTTGATATTTCATGATATCTGAAGAAATAAAAAGAAAACCTTTGAACTTACCAATGTTGATTTGGTTTGGAAACCCTGCCAACGACTCCCCACACAAATGAAAAATAACAAAGACTGCAGCAACTGTGCGATTCCACATTTTTTCTCTCCTCCGGGAAGTGAAATCAACTCCTGGTCTGTGTGCGAGTGAGGCAAAGCAAGGAGAAGCATGTAGATATACAGAGGGCTTGGATGCAAATTTGAAAAAAAATTTWAAAAAGAAAGAAAAAGCAAAAAAAGAAAGAAAAGAAATCCACAGAATAGATGCGGAGCGTCTCTCAGTTTCTCTCCCTCTCTCTCTGTGCGCCCACGGTGAATGTGTGCCAGCGCAACCGCAGCGCCAGCCCACTGCTGCTGATGCTGCTGCTGGAAATCTAAAGCCAGTGTTTTATCTCAAAGATGGAGGTGGAGAGAGGGGGAGCAGATCTTCTCACTGTGGATGGAGACCATTGAATTGGGCCAGTGAGAAAGGGGGAGAGAGAGAGCGAGAGAGAGAGAGAGAGAGAGAGAGAGAGAGAGAGAGAG